AAATCAAAAAAGTAGCCAGGCGTGGTCGTGTGCACCTGTAGTTCCAGCTACTTGGAAGACTGAGGTGGAAGGATCGCAGGAGTCCAGCAGGTCGAGGCTGCGGTGGCCTAGAGTGGCCACTGCACTCCAGTCTAGATGAGCGAATGAGAATCCAACTTTAAAAAAAAAAAATTGTATCTTGAATACATTCCCGAGCTAAGAGACACCACACTAGAGTTTACCAGATGATTTGAAAAGATGAGAGCTTCCAACCTAGTGCCAGGTGACAAAAAAATAAGACACAGAAGACGCTGGGCATAGTGGCTCATGCTTGTAATCCTAGCATTTTTAGAGGCAAGGAAAGAGGATTGCCATGTGGTTGAGACCAGTTTTGGGAATTTGGAGAAATGTAATCAATAAAATAACTCAAAACATTAGCTGGACATAGTGACACATAACTGCGATTTCAGCTACTCAGGAGCCTAAGGTAGAAACATTGCCTAAGGCCGCCATGTTGAGTCTGGAATGGCCATAAGCATGCTACTGCATTGAGCATGGGTGATACAGTGCAACAAAAAGACAGCAGTATGGCAGAAAACAAATTGGTATTAGGCAAGGTGACAGAAGAGTTCTGATTATTGGAGATTGTTTTTGACTTCTTTTACATTTAATTATATATATATATTTTAGTCAGAGTCTCACTGTCATCCAGGATGGAATGCAGGAACATATTCACACCCTCCACAGCCTCCCAAGTGGATGGAAGTATAGATGTGCATTACCAGACAGGTCTAATTTTTTGATTTATTATAGAGATGAGAGCTCACCAAGTTGATCAGGCTGGACTTGAGCCCATAGGCTAAGGCAATCCTCTAAACTTAGCGTCCCAAAGTACAGGGAATATAGGCATGAGCCACCATGCCTGACCCTTGACTTCTTTTGTAACATGGACACTCCAATAACAAGGGCATTCAAACTACAGCAAATAGTATACGAATTGGTACTATATAGAAACATTTTTAGATAAATGAAAATACCAAATATCTGACAAAAAGGTGTGTTTTTGTAAAGCTACATCGACTGTCCCACCTCTCCTGCTTCCACCTCAGTACCTCTTCCATCTGTGTCACCAACAGCAAGACCACCCTCCTCTTCCTCTTCATCCTCAGCTACTCAATGGGAAGAAGATGATGAAAACCTTAATGATGATCCATCTTAATTTAATGAATAGTAAATATATTTTTTTCTTCTGTATGATTTTCTTTTTTCAATTTGCTGGGTTTCTGTGAGGATTTGTTACATGAGTATATTATGAGATGCTGTGATTTAGGCTTAAGTTGAACCCATCACCAAATACTGAAGATGATGCACAATTGGGAGGTTTTCAACACTTGCCACCACTCTCTCCACCTTCACAAGTCCCAAATGTCTGCTATTCTCATCTTCACATCTTCAGGGACCCAGTATTTAGCTCTGATATACATATGTGAGCATGCAGTATTTGGTTTTCTCTTTCTGGAATAATCTGCATATGCTATTTTAAGATTACAATATATAAAACACATAACATACAAATTGTGTTAGTATACTTGTTACATAGAATTCACATGTAGAATCAATGCCATTTCTTCTCTCAGGCTATTTTCCATATCTTACCTAGGGCCACAAACTTACTGTAAGAGGAAGATTTATTGCTAATTATATAGTACTTATTATACAACTAGCATTGTCTTGTGTTTGTTCACTTGGTTTAAATGACAAAATAAAGTCAAAAAATTTCTTGATTTATAGTCTCCAAGTTTTCACCACGGATTTGAGTCCAGTCTTGGCAAGTTGGTGAGAAGTCATCTCTACAATAAATTGCCAAACCTAGCTGGGTGTGATTACATGTGTCTTTAGTTCCAGATATTTGAAAGTCTGAGGTGGAATGATCAACTCAGCCCAGCAGGTCAAAGCTGTGGTGGCTGTGAACATCACATTGCATTCCAGCCTGGGCAACAAGAGTAAGACTCCAACTAAAAAGAAAGGAATTATAACTCCCAAATGTCTTCAATGGTATTCTCAGGTTGTGAAGAACAAAATGGAATGTACTAATTTTAACATGTAACTAAACACATCCACTGTGAAGTATATTGTCATGGTGATTTCTGAACACCATTAAATTTTATTTTTAAAATTCTTGAAATTTCTAAGTAGCCAAATAGCACTTTCTGGACATGGAACAGTGAGTCGTATATGAGGTTATGTGTGAATAGCAGGCAAGTAAAAAAGAGAATTTCTATAGTGAGATTTTGAACCATTAGTTTTAGATTTTAATGAATTAAAATTCAATGTGGAGCAAAGAAAAAAGATTTGCTTTCAGGTTTTAAATTATTTGTTTCAGCCAGGCTCAGTGGCTCAGCCTGTAATCCTGCACATTGGGAGGCTGAGGTGAGTGGATTGCCTAAGCCCGCGGGTTCGAGACTCACCTGGGCAACTTGGCGAGACCTCATCTCTACAATAAATCAAAAAATTAGCCGGGCATGGTAGCGCATGCCTGTATTTCCAGCTACTCGGAAGGCTGAGGTGGAAGGATCACTGGAGCCCAGTGGGTCAAGGCTGCAGCGGCCAGGAGCGGCCACTGCACTCCAGTCTGGGCAGCAGAGTGAGACTCCAACTCAAAAACAAAAAAACAAAAAAAATTATTTGTTTCTGTAAGGTCATTTCCACCTTAGGTAGTCACACATTCTCAAGCACAAACCCAACCTCTTCTTCCCTAGTTAACTAACTCATAAATTTTGAGATATATATATATATATTTTATTCATTACAATTAAAACCAAAAGCCTGTATCTGATGTGTAGACAGAGAAGCACAACGTGTACATAAAAATATAAAATAAGATTTTAAAACACTCAGATTGCAAAAAGTCATATATTATGATACTCCTGTGTAATCTTTATTATGACCCAATAACTACAAAAAAAAAAATAAAACTGTTGCAAAAAAAGATGACTAATAGATTAGTTCATAAGTTACTACTCAATGGTATATAATCAACATCATTTCCCTACAATCTTGAATAAAATGGCATAGTTTAACAGTAGTGGCAGAAAAATTCTCATTTTGTGCCCCAAAGTCTTTAACACATTATAAAAAATTCTCAGATGGGCCAGATGGCTAAAGCCTATATCCCAGCACTTTGGGAGGCTGAGATGTGATGAGCCTAGGGAACTTGGCAAGACCTAATCACTACAATAAAAAAAAAAAATTGCCAGGCAAGTTAAGTTAGAACACATCTGTAGATCTGGCTACTTGCAAAACTGAGGGAGAAGGATCTATTAAGCCCAGTGGGTCAATGCTGGTGTGGTCGTTAGCATGTACTGCACTCCAGCCTGGGTGACAAAATGAGACTCCAATTTTTTAAAAAAAGAATTTTCATTATTCAAACAAATTAAGGTCACATAAACTAAATAAACATTCCAATGTTTCATATATTATTAGTGAAAACAGATTATGAACTTTTTTGTGTGCGATTTCTTTTTGTAAAGATGGGATCCTGATATGTTGCCTAAGATGGCCTTGAACTTCTGCACTCAAGCAATCCTCCTGTTTCACCCTCTCAAAGTGTTGGAATATATTGGCAGGAGTCATCGTGCTTTCCCAGATTACGAATTTTCAAAAAGCATTTCTGTACTTCTAGTAGGGTGATATACATGAGAGTGCACCTTGCTTCAGTTTTCAAAACTGAGGCTAATTATTTGCTAAACATAAATTTACAAGATACACCATTTCAGGCAGCAATTATCTTTTCTCTGATGTCTGTCAAAAGATCTCTACTTATACCTTAACATCAGGATTTTTTCCATATGCAGTTGGCAAGACAGTTTATTTCTAAAACTCTGAACATTTCTTTTTTTTGAGTTGGAGTCTCACTCTCTCACCCAGACTGGAGTGCAGGGGTTACTCCCGGCCACCACAGCCTCAACCTGCTGGGCTCCGGCGATCCTTCCACCTCCGCCTTCTGAGTAGCTAGAACTACAGGCATGCGCTACCATGCCCGGCTGATTTTTTGATTTATTGTAGAGATGAGGTCTCATCAAGTTGCCCAGGTGGGTCTCGAACCCGCAGACTCAGGCAATCCACTCACCTCAGCCTCCCAAGGGCATGGGATTACAGGCTGAGCCACTGAGCCCAGCTACTCCTAATGTTTTGTTTTGTTTCAGCAATCAAAAGTATAACCCTGAGAACATACCTCATGCAAGACTTGCAATACTGCTAAACATGAGCCATAAGGAACACCTCCACTTAGATGCTTTATGTATTTTACATTTCAGAGTCCTTCATCATCCACAGAAAAGTTGAGAAGAATCATGCTCACCTAGAAGGGTTTGTCAGGGTTCTAATGTACAAACAATTGATCAAATGCTTCTATGTAAACATAAGGAATGAAGGCATAGCATCACGTGATTTGTGTTACATAAATCACTTGCTCTTCAAAACAACTCCAAAATTCTGTCAATGCAAAAACAAAAGTATACATGGAATATACTTATGCCTCTCGAATGAAAAATCAATCTGATCTTATTCAACATGTAAGAAGATAATTTAGGTAATTTATTATTCTGTGTACGGCTTGTATTTTGACAAATGTTCTTCCAATCATTATAGGATATTTTCCAAGTACGAATTATCTGTTGAGAAAAGTTGTAGTAACAGTTAAAGGTTCTGCCACATGTTTTACAATTTTTTGAGATGAAGTTTTACTCTGTAGGTCAGGATGGGGTGCTCTGGCACACTCATGACCACCCCAGCATTAACATGCTGGGCTCCAGCAATCCTTCCACCTCAGCATTTCAAGTAGCCAGAACTACAGGCACCCTTTCATGCCCAACTAATTTTTTGATTTATTGTAAGACAAGGTCTCACCGAGTAGTCTGGGCTGGTCTCGAACCCACAGGTTTAACAATCCACTCATCTCAGCATACAAAGTGCTGGGATTGCAGGCTGAACCACCAAGTCATTCCTCATTTTTTACATTTTCAGGGATTCCCTCTAGTATGAATTTTCTGATGTCGAGTAAGATGTGAGTGCCACCGAAAGGCTTTGTCACATTTTTCACAGGTGAAGGATTTCTCTTGACTATGGATCCTTTTATGTTGGGCAAGTCCTGTATAAGAGCGAAAGGGTTTGTCACATTCTTCACATTTATAGGGTTTCTCTCCAGTATGAATACGAATATGTTCAGTACATCTTTCTTTAGTGAAAAAGGCTTTGCCACATTCTTTACATTTATAAGGTTTCTCTCCAGTGTGGAGTCTCTTATGTCGAAGAAAATTTGGGTACCAATTAAAGCCTTTGTCACATTTTTCACATTTGTAGGATTTCTCTTTATTATGGATACTTTTATGATGAGCAAGTCCTGTATAAGTGCGAAAGTGTTTGTCACATTCTGCACATTTGTACCGTTTCTCTCCAGTATGGATACTCACATGTTCAGTACATCTTCCTTTAGTTAAAAAGGCTTTGCCACATTCCTTACATTTATAGGGTTTCTCTCCAGTATGGATTCTCTGATGTCGAAGACAATATGAGGACCTACTAAAGCCTTTGTCACATTCTTCACATTTGTAGAGTTTCTCTCCAGTATGGATTGTAACATGTTCAAAAAATCTTCCTTTAGTGGAAAAAGCTTTGCCACATTCATCACATTTGTAGGGTTTCACTCTAGTATGGATTCTCATATGTTCAGTTAATCTTCTTTTAGTGAAAAAAGCTTTGCCACATTCCTCACATTTGCAGTGTTTCTCTCCAGTATGGATACTCATATGTTCAGTACATCTTATTTTAGTGAAAAAGGCTTTGCCACATACTTCACATTTGTAAGGTTTCTTTTCAATGTGGATTCTCTGATGCTGAATAAATCTTGAATACCAATTAAACACTTTGTCACATTCTTCACATTTGTAGGATTTCCCTCCAGTATGGACTCTTGTTTGTCTATGAAGTCCTTTAAGTATGGAAAAAGCATTGTAACATTTCAATAAAATGTACTGTAATTATTTATAAAAGGTTTTCATGAGAAAACTTTAAGGAATAACCATTAAAATGATAGTACCAAAACCTACAAATTATATTAATAATATATTGCTATTATTTTACATAAAAGGAAAAGCAGTAAATTACCCTTTATTAGAAAAAAGAAAACTTTGCTTCTAAATACTGGAGACAACATGAATGTTATAAAATATGATATGAAACACTGATACATAAATGAACTGTTGGGAATATTTGATACTAGTATACACATACACATTGAAGAAAGTAGATGGAAAAGCTAATAAAAACTATTTACATGCAGTAAACTTAAACATGAAAACATTAAATTTGGGGGTTCACCAATTATCTAATTCACTTTTTAATTAATATTAAATTCAAGTATGGCATTTCAGAACTAAAATTACAGGTAAACTATTATATGGCAAACCAAAAAATAAAAGGAAGCCGGGTTCGGTGGCTCAGCATGTAATCCCGTGCCTTTGGGAGGCTGAGGTGAGTGGATTGCCTGAGCCCGTGGGTTCGAGACCCACCTGGGCAACTTGGCAAGATCTCATCTCTACAATAAATCAAAAATGAGCCGGGCGTGGTAGCGCGTGCCTGTAGTTCCAGCTACTTGGAAGGCTGAGGCGGAAGGATCACTGGAGCCCAGCGGGTTGAGGCTGTGGTGGCCGGGAGCGGCCACTGCACTCCAGTCTGGGCGACAGAGTGAGACTCCAACTCAAAAAATAAATAAATAAATAAATAAATAAAAGGATATAAAACATAGTCCTATTACTTTTATACTGAAAAAGACAAAATTATAAAATGATACTTTTGAAGAAAAAGGTAACAATAGGAAATTAACTAGGTTTGTCAATTATTTTAAATGTTTTATTTCAAAGATGTGGGGTAGAATTCAGTGTTAGGTATACAAATGTTCATTATGCAGGTACACACCTTAATGGGGTGTACCTCTCCCTCCCCTGGTAGTTTCCTTCAACTCTCAATTCCAACCCCTCCCTTGGCAGTTTCCCACTAGTATCAATCACGTTCTTATAGTATTATAAATATTCAAGCTTGGCAATGTTTTAAATTCACTTTGCAGCACTAGTTTAAGACTTCAATGAGGTGATGATACATTATACCTCATACATAATACAACAGAGATATTTAGGCAAATACAGTTTAAATTTGTAACCTTAGTTTATACTAAGAAAAGAAAAATGTTAATGTAATATGAGATTAGATTATCTTCTATTTAATGTAATGCTTTGTGCTCTGAAAAAAATTACTCAGTCAGCCCAAGCAACTTGGTGATACCAGGTGAGGTGGCATGTGCCTGTAGTCCTGGCAACGTGGGAGACTGAAGCAGAAGTATAACTAGAGCCAAGCAGGTCAATGCTGTGGTGGCTATGAGTGTACCACAGCACTCTAGCCTAGGACACAGGTGAGACTCCAACTCAAAAACTAAAAAATTAGCTGGGCTTGGTGGCTCAGCCTGTAAACCCAGCACTTTGGGAGGCTGAGGTGAGAGAATTGGCTGAGACTGCAGGTTCAAGACCCTCCTGGGCAACTTGGCAAGACCTCACCTGTACAATAAATCAAAAAATTATCTGGGCATGGTAGCACACACCTGTAGTTCCAGCTGCTTGGAAGGCTCAGTTGGAAGGATCGCTGGAGCCCAGCAGGTCAAGGCTGCGGTGGCCAGGAGTGGCCACTGCACTCTAGTCTGGGTGACAGTGTGAGACTCCAATTCAAATATAAATAAATAAAATAAAATAAAATAAATAAAAAATTGATCTAGAGTCCTGAAGGAACATGTTTGACACTTCCAGCCGGGCTTAGTGTCTCAGACTGTAATCCCACACTTTGGGAGGCTGAGGTGAGTGGATTGCCTGAGCCCACGGGTTTGAGAACCACCTGGGCAACTTGGCAAGACCTCATCTCTACAATAAAAATCAAAAAGTTAGCTGGGCATGGTAGCTTACACCTGTAGTTCCAACTACTTAGAAGGCTGAGGTAGAAGGATCACCGGAGCCCAGCAGGTTGAGGTTGCAGTGGCTGGGAACGGCCACAGCACTTCAGTCTGGGTGACAGAGTGAGACTCCAACTCAAAAAAAAAAAAAAAAAAAAGAAACTTCCATAGTACAAGATACTATATACCTGGGCACAGTGGCTCACACCTGTAATCCCAACACTTTGGAAGGTGGAGGTGAGAATATCTCCAGAAGCCAGGGGTTTAAGATCAGCCTGGGCAACCTGGTAACACATTACTTCCACAATAAATCAAAATTGGCAGAGCATGTTTGCACATACCTGTGGTTCCAGCTACTTTGAAGGATGAGGCGGAAGGATCACCAGAGCCCAGCAGCTCAAGGCTATGGTATCCAAGAACATACCACTGCACTGCAGTGTGGGTGACAGAGTGAGGACTCAAGAAAATTTTTTTTAAAAAGGGACATTATAATGCAGAAAACGTGACACACCTGCCCCTAGTGCTCTTGGGATTTCTAAACCAAATCCCAATGACTCCACTATCCCCCTTATGCAATTCTGACATGTGACATAAACAGATCTTCTTTTGTTTTTTTGTTTTTTTTTTTTTTAGTCAGTCTCACTCCATTGCCCAGGTTGGAGTGCAGTGGCATGCTTGTGGCCATCCCAGCGTTGAACTGCTGGACTTCAGATATCCTTCTGCCTCAGTCTTCCAAGTAGCTGGAACTACATGAATGCACTTCTCCACCCGGCCAATTTTTTTATTTATTGTAGAGATGAAGTTTCACCAAGGTTCGTTGAGTTCCCACCAGCTCAGGCAATGCCCTTACCTAAGCCCTCAAAACTGTTGGGATTACAAGCTTGAGACACTGCACCTGCCCACCGACCTTTTTTAATTGTTGAAAATAGGAGTGCCTAAAAATGTGTCCAGAATTTCCTAAAACTCACAAAGGAATGGAAGAGTAGTCATATCATGTCATCCACCACAACACATGAAACTCTCACGGTGAAAGTGCTGAAAGCACATTGAAAAGGAAACAGAAAATATAGGATTGAGGAGCATATGCAAAAGGAGATGTCTCTCTGTGGCAACCAAAAATTATTCTCATTAGAGCACAGATTCCCAAAGCATATTTTAAACTGTGGCTTCTGCTTTGACACTTGGACCTCTCATCTGTGTCATCTGCATATGTAATCCCAATTACTAGAGGATATGGCTATTGTCTTCTCTCCTTTTGTATTATAGGGCTTTTTTTTTCCTTCAGAAAGGTAACCAGGTATGGCCATATGCCTCCTCTTTCTTAGAAACCACAATGGACTCAGGAGAAAACTTCCAACTCTCAGTTATCTTCCTCAGAAGATAGTAATCTTGTGTCCAACAGTGATCATGTGTTCAAAATTTTTGCTTTTTTTGGAGATGTGTGATGACTGGATTTTGTCATTCTTGACATGAAGCAAAGAAGGAAGTGATGGAGTATTGTGGATGACAAGTTTGTGTCTAAAGAGAAGAAAGGTGAATGCTTGCTATAGCACCAGAATAACTGCAATACCACAGACAGTATACTGGTGAGGCAAAACATTATGAGATCTGAAAATGAAACACAGGACAATCTCTTGAACTCAAAAAATACACAAGTCTAGAGTCAATACTTTCTGAGAACATGTTTGAAAAGCACCAGAATCTATAGCCTAGCTGATCACATTTTCCATTGTACAGAGACAGAGTTTTAATAACTGTCAAAGTCAGCTGCATTTAATTTTTCTCACCCTCAAAGGAGTGCAGTGGCATGTTTGTGGTCACTGCAACCTTGACCTGCTCCTCTTAGGTGATCCCTCAGCCTCGGCCTTCCAAGAAGCTGAAAGCACAGGTACTTGCTACCATACCTATCTAGGCAGCTACATTTTGCTTCTCCAAATTTCAAGAAATTATCCCATGGTATGTATGTGTATATATAAGTACCTCCAAAAAACATAGTCCAGTTGAAAAAACAAAATAATTCTCCAGAAATTCACCCTAAGAAAATAAACATCTTTGAATTGGCTGGGTGTAGTGGCTCAGTCTGTAATCCCGGCACTTTGGGGTTTGAGACAAGAGGATTACCTGAGCCTGAGAGTTCAAGACCAGCCTGGGCAACCTTGTAGGACCTCATCTCAAAAATAAAATCACAAAAAAACTACCCACACATGATGGCATGCATCTGTAGTTCCAGCTTCTTGGAAGGGTGAGGCGGAAGGATTGCCTAAGCCCAGCAGGTCGAGGTTGTGGTGGTCATGAGTGTGCTGCTGCAAACTGGGCAACAAGAGTGAGACATCAACTCAACAACAACAAAATCTATGCATTATCTGACAAATAACACAAAGTAACTATCTTAAACATGCTTAATAAGTGAAATAGAACATAGACTAAAAAATTAGGAAAATGATTTATGAAGAGATTCAGAATATCAATGAAGAAATAAAACTACATATGCAATTGAAGTTAACTTGTCTGACATTAAGATGTATTGGTATGACTTTAAGATGTTTTACATACTGTCTATTTGCAACAGGAATCACAAAGAAATATTTATAAGACGTATGCAAAAGGCAGTGAAAAAGTAATCAAGCTCCTTACTACAGAAATAAAAACCACAAAGAAGAATGGGAAGAGAGGAAAACAAGGACAATATACCTACAGAAAACAGATAAAGTAAAAAAGGGGGACAGTACCATGCATTGTGGCCCATGCCTACAATCCCAGCACTTTGGGAGGCCGAGGTGAGAGGATTGCCTGAGCCCACAGTTTTGAGACCAGACCGGGCAACTTGGTCTCTACAATAAATCAGAAAATTAGCCAGGCAGGGTGATGTGTGCCTGTTTTTCCAGCTACTTTGAAGGCTGATGTGGAAGGATTGCCTGAGCCCTGAAGGTCAAGACCATGGTGGTCATGAGTTTGCCACTGCACTCCAACCTTGGTGACAGAGTGAGACTCCCACT